TTTAACTTGTTTCTTTGTTGTATAGATTTTATGTAGTAATTATGTTAGTTAATGTAGGGCTTGGTAAGCATTTAGTGTTCCTAATAAGGATGCAGAAAAGTTAACTAAATTAAAATTAATATGAGTTGCAGAATGAATGGTGTTGACTTTTGTTTTTAGATTTGGATTGACTTTCACTTGTGTTTCTCATTTCAAGGACTTAGGTTATGGTTCAATTTATTTAGGAGTTAATATTTATTGCCACTACATAAAATTTTTGATTTGCATTTCTGCTAAGCTTTATTTTGATGTGCTTTGGTTTTGGTGATATACTGATAATACTATGTTTTTGCTTAATGGAAGGAGTACTTGTTATTCTAGTCCTTATTCGGTAATTAGTAGGAACTAGAAGTGATAGTAGTTATTTTCTTTATGGAATAATACATAAACATGCCTTTAACTTGGCTTCATTTTGCGTCTACACCCTCTAACTTTGGTTATGCACAAGCAGACACTTCAACTTATATAGAGCTGAACAAGTAAACACATGCGTCTTACTTGGCGTCCTACATAGCAATTTGCATCCTACACATCATCATAAATGGTGTCATATGTGTATTATATCACGCAAGACGCGTTTACAAGTTTATTCAACTTTATACAAGTTTAAGTGTTTACTTGTGCAGATAAAAAATTAAAGGGTGTAGATGCCACCTCAAGCTAAGTTAAAGGGCATATTATATATTGTGTCTTTCTTTAATATGTTTGAGAATATGCTATCTGATTAATTGTATACTTCTGTCCAAAATTAAAAGAAGTTTCTCTATATGATGGGGTATGGAATGGTGCTGACTTTTTATTCTGGAAAGTTGTTTAAAATGGAATGATTGGCCAATAACATTCCCAAGGTATACCCACGAATTGAAGTACATTCTTAAGATATCCATGTGAACCAAAAACATGGTTATTGTTTTTCTAAATAAACAATTTTCATCCTTTCATTAATCCAAAGTCAAAAAAGTTTTACAAAAACATAGAACTCGTGTGAGTTTACATGGTATGAAAGCCTCCCAAAATATCTTCTTTGTTCATACATTATAGCCTAAATGTTCAATAAAAATTTAGTAGTATACTCGTTGATGTCTTTAATCTTTTGGTGTTTGATTCCTTTTACTAATAATGTGTCATTCTTCTTCTGTTAAAACCTGTAAAATAATCTAATGTATACTTCATTAGACCAATTTGCTTAGTTCAAATTATTTATGTCTCTTTACTTGTTATTTGATTTATTTTATTATTCAAAATGACTAATTATCTTCTTTTTTTTAGTAACACATTTATAAAAAACTTATTAAGGAGAAGGTTGATGGGATTTCTACACCAAGGGATGAATTGGTATTGAAGTACTATAAGGAGACATTAAATTTGAAGAAACATGCCAACAAATGGAGCTGGAGACGCTAAGTTGGAGGACAATGCCAACAAGAAGCTTATGTTGATGTTTTTGAGCTTAAGTTGACATGGAGCTAATTTTTATGTTTTTAAAACTTCAGATATGTTCAATTTTATTTGTATACATGTTATTCATTTCTGAAGGACATACCATTTTGAAATGGTTGTGCAAATAATGCATAGTATAGTTAATGAATTAGTGTAATTTGAATGGATTCAATTTTTATTTCATGATATGTGAAATTTAAGTAATTTTGGTTGCTTCTAAAAGTAAGCTAGGGGTCATGAAAACATAACAAATCAAGCCAAGAAAAAGCTAGGATGTTTACATATTAGCTTAAAAAATGTCCAAGCAAAAGAGAGTTGTTTGCTATGAAGTTACCTAGGAATAATCCTAGCTATTATTTGCTTGGATATGTTTCCTAGAAAAATATTCTAGCTAAATTAGCTAGGCTAACAACGTTTTCCTAACAAAATTTTAGCTAAGAGCGTATTAGCTACAAAAGGTTGCTACGGTCATTTTCCTAGCAAAAACGATGTTAGCTAGGAATTTTGTAAGTTAGCTAGGGATTTAGTCTCTCGCTAATGACCTGTTCTCTTGTAGTGAAATACAATTTTGCAATACCAATCCAACAGTGTAATTCATTTTGTTTATTTCAAATTAATGACTTTTTTTTCTAACTTAATATTTAGTAATTGCATGCACATTGTATAAGACTTGCTGAAATTTTGAACAAATTACAAAATCATTTTAAAGTAATGAAAATATGAGATGAAAAAAAGTACCTAATTTTTATAATTTGTAGGGTCGGATTGTTATGTTGTCGGGTTGTGCTACTCCAATCTTTCAAGATTTTGATTTTTTAGTGTAGGGTTGCTTCAATTGTCGGATTGGGACCATCAACTATTAACTTCAAAGTGAAGTTTGGAAGCCATGAAAGTGAAAAGGTAAAGTAACTTTTATAAAGTGTAAGATTTTCTTCCACTTTATAAAGTGGAAGAAAAAGTTCCACTTTACAAAGTGTAAGAAAAACTTACACTTTATAAAGTGTAAGAAATAGTTTCATTTTATAAAGTGTAGGAAATAGTTCCGTTATATATTAAAATATACACGTTATGAGACTAACGAAAAACGTTTAGAATATCAAATAAAGTGGAATTTTTTCTTCCACTAAGCCTATTTTAGTTACTTACTAAAGTAGTGGCTTATTTTGGTCACTTTCATGTTTTTGTGGCTTATTTAGGTTCTGAACTCTATATTTAACTGATATGGTACAGACTGACTGGGCAAGGCTTTTATCCAATGACAATGCACTTTAGTGAAAACTAAGCCACCCAAGTGCAAGTTTCCTCAAGGTTTCTTTCATCCTAATGTCTATCCATCAGGAAAAGTACGTCTGCAGTCTATCCTTAATCAGGACCATGTAAGTTCTTGTCATTGTTGTTTTGTTACTTTGTTAGTTTTGTAAATTTGTATATCGGCTTCAAGATTACTCTTATGGTTATTGTGTTTTTATAACCTTGTTTAGGGGTGGAGTCCTGTCATTACAGTGAAACAAATTCTAATGGGTATTCATTATTTGCTTGATTGGCCGAGCCCTAATTATCTAGCACAAATAGAAGGTTATAATATATACATACAGGTAACTACTCAAGCTTGATGTGTACTTCATTGAGATTTTTTAAAAAAAAATCTTTAAGTTGCCATTTTGATTTTGTCTATTGGAACTACTCATAATAATAGCTTGTATATCTGAAATTCTATGATGATTCCTGTTGAGAAGTCGTTTACTTGGATGCTTAGATAAAAAAATAAAATTTACTATATATTAAATACATTAAATCTGTTTTAGAGATACTATTGGATTGTAGGAGGGATTCCAAATGTCAATAGATTACTTACAAATTTTGGTTAAATTGGTAATGAGAAAATTAAATTTTAGTTTCCATTCATAGAATATGGTGCATTTGAAATGTGATAATTGAGTAAATCATATTATTTCCTATTTTTTGGCTTTTCATTACAATATGTGACCTTGATTTTGCAGGATAATGTTGAGTATAAGAGACGAGTGAGACAGCAGGCTGAGCAGTATCCAACTCTTTTCTGACATTACTTTGTTATAAATTAAGAATAATCATGTGACATTTTTAGTCCTCATTGACATGGTGGTCGTGTGTCTAATTTGGTTCTAATCTTCTTTATAATTGAACAAATAATATAGTATGTGTGCAACATGCCTGCTATTCATATATGTTATTTTGACAATGTGGTTGGTTTGTTGTTTCTCTTTCTACTTCATCAAAGTCTTTGTTTTTCTATGCTAACAATCCGGTAGTTGCTAACTGTGTCAAACCAAAGAAGCAATCTTCTAGTCACTATTGGTTTATAGGTCCAATGGGCAAAAGCTGATAAACTTGTTTCTTGGGTAACTAAGTTTTCTTCATGGCTTATCACATACTTCGCCTTTCAAATATGCAACAAATAGCGATCTTCAAAGGTTGGAATGAACAACAACTATATATACCCTACTCAAAAGAAACTCACTTTTGTCAATATCTATATTCGAGACATTGGGAAGTATTGCTTAACACTCTAGATTTGTTATCTATAGTATTTTGCTTGAAACATAACATGTTATTTTGTTCTCTCTTTTATTTTGTCTTGTGGTTAATCATACAAGCAAGGTCAACATCCTTGATGCTTATTGTAGGAAATATTAGGAGAGCTTACTCTTCTAAGGTACGAAAACCATGGTAGTTGAGATCCTCTATTAATGTCATCAGATGATTATTAGAAAATCTTTCTTTCTCCACTTCCCTCATAATCATTGCTTCGACGTCTTTTGCTCTGCTTTTGATCATTTCACTTTCCGTTGAGGTGTTCATCAATATTTTCACACTCTCCTCCATCTTCCTCCTTCTTGATAATTGTATTTGTGATGTCAAAGTACTGTGATATACCTCTTCCCTAACCCCACATCAAATAACCTACCCCATCTTTTCATGGTAGGACTTTTCCACAAACAAGGGTTATGTTAGCATTGGCATTCGAGCCGTAAGAGATTCCAAGCTAGAGTTCTAACCACAATTGCTGGATTTTCCAAAATCTTCAGTTGCGGCACCTATCCTCTAACTAAGAAACCTTTGGTGTTTGTCAACATTTTTTCCTTGAAGCTAGTAAGCATCGAGCTTTCTCGCTCTTTTTCATGGGGTTTGTCACCCTTACTTACTACCCAAAGAATAATGAATTTGAGGTCTCAAAAACAAAGGTTATTACATAGAGCAGAGAATCAAAAACCACCCCATACATTAAGAACAAATGTACACGATCAAGTTTGGTTCTTGAGAATCAATCTAACTTAGATTGTTGTATCGCTCTAGTACTATAGTGTTTTCAAATTGCTCAATTCTTCTCTCTTTAAAAGTGAAACAAACAATGAATCAACCATGATTTTTCACCATTGGTTCCTTCTAAAGCTCCGTGTAAGTAGTATTCAGTTTATAGATAGTGTTAGTAATCATGGCATATACAACTCCAAGGTTCTAATTCTTTAATTCACTTCATCATCTCCGAGTATGGACCTTCAGAATTGATTTTAATATCATACGAAAATTGAGATCTTTTAATTTTAATCTGATAAGGTAAACTTAGAATCAATAAACTTTATGAATATACAAATTACTTTCTCATGAGGTGTATACACGTTCAAACAATGTCCAATATAGTGGAACATAAGATTATGTGGATAAAACGTAAGTCTAGGTATCTTCAGTTGCTCGACTTAGTCCATAGTCAAGGTAAGGCACACATCTGAAACTATGCAATAAGGACAAATCTCAACAATAAGATCTTCGATTGGTTTCTAAAGCAACAAAATTTCTATAAATACCATCACTACACCATAATAGGATTTTAGTGGCATGTATTTAGGTGCTATAAACTAATTGCCACTAATTTTTCTTCAAACTTCATATATTACCAGAAAATAAACTTTAACTGCAAATGATCAATTTTTAGTGGCAACTTAAATAAATGGCCATTAAAATCTCAAACTAATTATACTCACATTTTTTTATACTCTAAAAGTTAGTGAAATTATCCACACTTCATGTAACTATAAGAAAAATTAATTAATTTATTTACTTTTATTTTTCGAACATACTTATATATAAAATCTCACCCAAAGAATTGGGCATGAACCCAACCAAGTACTAAATACTTTTGAATCCAAAAACTACAATTATTTTTATTACCAAAATGTATGTATGAATGTCTCACTTTTCAAAATAACACTAGCAAAAAAATCATGCTTCTTCCCTTTGGGGAAACCAGTTAGTCTCTAAATTACTCAATTGTTTTTGCATCAATGGTGGCTTGTCTACTCTCACAACCTATCTTTTCTTGATCCATCTTCATTCAAAATAGTTGAAACAAATGCATCAGATGTTGTTTATGGTGGTAATTTGAAAAAAAAGAGATAAAGATTATATCAATGCATTTGCATCCAATCATTGGAATAAATTCCAACAAAGTTATCCTACTATAAAGAAGAAAATTTTGGCAATTGTTTTTGTGAAATTCAAAATTTCAACCAGATTTACAGAATTAAAAGTTTTTACAACGCATTGATTGTAAAGCTGCAAAATTTATTTTGAAAAAAGATGTACAAAATCTTTGAGGTATGGTATCTAGGTAACATATTTTTGTGTTTGCTCGTCTTTATGATGTTTGAACAATCAAGATCGAGTATATGTGAGTATCCATCCCTTCATAAATTTTTTGTGTATATACGGGAGTTTTTTTAGATGAAATTTATTGCAGCGCTAAGTATTTTATTAGCTACTTCCTGGGGGTTGGAATATCTGTCATCAAAGAAAATGGCTCAGTTTTACCCAAGACTAACTATAGTCTCTTCAAAATTAATATTCAATTTCTAGGACATAATATCCAACAAGGTACTATTACTCTATCCCTATACAAGGGATCGCCATAAAACAACTTTTATGATACCTTTTGGGCAGTATGAATGGAATGTTATCCCTTTGGACTAAAAATCACTCCCTCGAAATTTCAAAAAATAATGAATGATATTTTTAATCATTTTTCAAAATTTCTTATAATGTACATTGATGTTGTCCTAGTATTTTCTACTAGCATTGACCAACATTTCAAACATTTGAAAGTTTTCTCCAATGTCATCAAAGATAATGGCTTAGTTTTATCCAAGAATAAGTACAATCTCTTCCAAATATATATTCAGTTTCTTGGACATAATATCCAACAAGGTACTATTATCCCTATCCAACGATCCATTCAATTTGCTTATATATTTCCTAATAAAATTCTTGACAAATCTCAGCTCCAAAGATTCTTGGGATGTGTCAATCACATAGAATATTTTATTCCAGGACTTAGTAATTTACTAAAACCTCTTCATCATAGATTGAAGAAATCCCCTCCTCCATGGACCAACATCAACTCCAATGTCGTTAAAGAAATAAAGTTTAAAGCTAAAGACCTAACATGATTATCCCTTATTAATTCCTCTGCATTCAAAATAGTTAAAACAGATGCATAAGATATTGGTTATAGTGGTATTTTGAAACAAGGAAAAATTGACAACGAGCATATCATTGCATTGGCATCCAAAATTTGAATAAAACCCAACAAAATTATCCTACTATAAAGAAGGAAACTTTAGCAATTATTTGTGCATTTTATAATTTCAAGAAGATATACTAAATAAAAGCTTTTACTACGCATTGATTGTAAACCTGCAAAATCTATTTTGCAAAAAGTTGTACAAAACCTTGATTCTAAACATATATTTGCTAGATGGTAAGCTATTTTGTCTATTTTATTTTGATATTGAACATATCAAAGGGAGCTCAAACTCTATATCAGGTTATCTTACTCGAGAATTCTTGCAGAGTAGGTAATTATTGATAGAAAAAAAATTGGAACGAAGTACACAAAATGAGAATGAAACTATTGTTGGACATAAGCCAACCAAAAACCAAGTATAAGTTGTTTCCCAATCACAGACAATTTCAGATGCTACAAAGCAATCCTCAAAAGATGTTGTTGGATCAAGCCATCCCAGATACCAAAACTCAGCGGATTATGCCATGAATGGATCTTTAATTTAAACATGGTAAAACTTGAATCAACTTATACAAATTGGTAAGATCTATTTTTTAATAGAATGTTCTTAATGCGGATGATATTGTGATCTTTTCATATCTACTTTGTAAGTAGCATTCCTAAGCAACAGTAGTTGGTTTGTCAAAGAAGACTTGGCAGAGGTACAAATGATTATTAATAACATCTGGATCATCTAAGTAAACAACTTCTTGATGTAAAATAGCTATAGCCTTTACGTATAAAATTGATATCAAACCCCTGTAAACATAACTATCATATCTACCTTTTTTATATAATATTGAGTTAAGAACTTGAATGTTTTTTTATGGAACCCAAAGTTCTCTTGATCCAAGGACAGGGGACTTTAAAGTCATTATTGTTATTTATTGTTATTTACCTAACCATTTTTTCAGATCTCATAATGTCTTTCTTCACTCCCTTCTTCTCCTCCTCTAAAATTTCTTCTGGAACTACATCTTCTACTATTCCCCCCAATTGTAATCTTAAAGGAGAGACTAGCTTCACAAATTTGCAGCAATGAATTCACGATTGGAAAATTTCAAGACATCCCTAGTCTATCATCTATAAGTCTTCAAGACGGCCTTTAAAAGGTAACTATTTCACGATTCAAAAGTGGACGTAATGGAACTCGTATTGTCCCATCAAGACAAGTCAGTCAAAAACCCAAAAACACGAAAGAAAAGTGGAAATAAACTAACAATAACATAAGCACAAAAAACATAGTCATTCTCAACATAACCTCAAAACCAGGTTGTCATGTGTACAAGTCACTAATATAAAATACATAATTGAAAGATAAAATGCAAGTCCTAATGTCATTGTTTCTAAAATAGAACAATAAAATAAGTAAGGAACAAGAGGGCCAGTCGGGATGACAAGCAACTACCTCTCAATGTATCATCAGAAAGTCTCGGAGAAAGATGGAAGAAGAATGGTCACACAGATTCAGGCTCGAAACCTACACAAGTGTAGAAGCAAGAAGTGAGTACCAACCAACACGGTACTCAGCAAGTAACCTAATAAACGGAAGATAAAACTAGCCTAGAATACGAGTACTCCTTCCATCCCAATCAAACCACCACAACTACAACCTACACAAAAATCAGCTCATCCTA